CTGAAGAAACAAATGCTTATTTGAGACATTGCCTTTATTTACATTTTTTTCGTTTGGTTATCTTGAAAGAGGGATTTGCCTTCTCTTGAACAGTGATTAGCATTTTGTTGTCATTGTTTACTGAGATCCTGTGATTCCAAACAATCATAGGCTTGCCTGGGAGGGACATGAACCCAGGACATCCTAGTTACTTGTACAGATGAGTTAACCTGGCTAGGTTTATGTTAATCAATAGTTACAATCAACTGCAATCTATATTGACGAAAGTTGTAAATTGTCTTTTCGTTGCTGACTTGTTTTTGTGTTGGAACATTGCAGTAAGTCAATGAGTAAACTTTTCTCACAGATGTTTTCAATGAGCGAATTTGTGGGTCCACAATTTGAACAGAAAACCCCAAAACTGAGCAGTGTCTTCCTGAAATGACATCACAGCAACAGTTCCCTCAGTTGTCCGGAAAAAGCATGGAAAATATTTAAATGTTTAAAGAAGTGCACTTTTCAATTAAATTAACCAAAAGGGATGTCAAATAGTTTCATAATTCATGAGGAACAGAAGTTCATTTTTTGGACGATTTCAAGATAATAATGGCACTAAAGTCCCTGTGAAATTGTTCTTTCTGGCATGCTGTCATGTTGAAAGAAACAATAAAAGGTCATTTCCAAAGATGGGTCTAAAGACGCATTTTTGGAAATTTCAGCTAGTAGTTTGTTTTTAGTTCTGCTATGAATGGGTATGAATGGTGCGCTGTTGCCATAATTCGTTGGTTCAGTGCGTGACATCGCATAGCTGCAATCGGCTGAATGAGAATGTGTCCCGGATGCTGATTTCTGGTGCAATTCAAAACATTACTGGGCAACGTTTGATTTAAAATCGAGATTCTAAAATATTGCTTTCTCAGAATATAGAGCATTCACTAAGCTGCAAATTCATCAGGTTGGTTGTTAAGCACCCTTCTTCAGATTTGAACAGTGATGATGAGAAAATCCATGCTCTACATTTAACAAAAACATGGGCCATGTTTAATAGGAACAGTTGTAGCTCAAGACGTGATTCAGTCCATTGATGAATTTCCATTTATGGCAAATCGTCTGTTTCTTTTAAAGGAGTGGTGGTGGTGGATCCTCTCGTCCAAGTCGTTATGGGGGGCGACGAAACGCTCCAGTTGAAAGCACCAGCTCTGCCGATGATTTGCCTGATGGGGCTGGCGATGGTGTGGAGTAAATGAACAACAAACACATGCACAATTTGTTCTTCCATTTCTGTCAGGTAGAGGGCGCTTTCCATGCACAGTGGTGCATGTATGATATATCCTGCAAGCATTTTGCATAACATAAGATGGCTCCTAGAAAATAAACCAATCTTGAGAGTACAAAACAAGTTTCAACAAAGGTTAAGGAAAGGGCAGTGGTAATTTGAAAAGCTGGTTTTTTTTTTTAACTTGATATAATTATTCTTGTGTATAGCATAGACTTTTACACAGCTTAGTGAGTTTTCATTTAATTTCAGGTTTTTCCCCTCTAGTATTAATTGTAGGTTTTTGATTATTTTCATGGCACTAGTAGATCTTGAACCAAATCATATTTTTTTTGTTACATTAACCAGTTATGGTTTGCAAACTAGAATTTCATGCACTTCCATTTAGCAGGGTGTAAAGGTTTTTTTGTCTGAGTTTCTTTGTGGCAATTAGGATTGATTTCTGCTGCACTCATCAATTTTCAGTCACACAGTTATGCTGGGTTGGGGATACGTTTGATGTTTCAGACATTTGAGTACTGTAGATGATTGCCTGATCGTTAGATTTGAATTCAAACTATCAACCTCAAATATGAAATCAAACCCAAAAATGTAAATGCTAAAATGTTGCTAAATTAGACAAATTCAACTTTTTTCTCTTTATCAAGAACAGACAATTGCATTTTGTATATTAAAAGTCTGCTTCCACTAGAATTCGGTTCATAATTGATGTGTTTGAACAGTTGAAGAAGTGACCGTGGCATTTCAACTGAAAATAATACGAGATTAATCCAAAAAGTGAAAAAAAGGTTGTAGCTAATATGAGCTTTAATATTGACCTCTGTGCTGTAGAATAGAACTAAACCTCATGTGGTCTGAAAATAAAATGTTCCACAAGGTCAAGTTTGCAATAAACGTTTCTGATACTTTAATTAAAAAAAGTAAGCATTGATTTTTATATTGAACCAAACAAGTAAGGACAGTTTATATATTTAGTTTAATGATAGAATAAAACAGTTTTTCATCAGCGATAGTAATATAACCCATTTCTTTTGACTTTATTTTTCTGTATGCAAAAGATAACCCCTATGCTATTTTGTTATCCAATAAGTTGTTATACTAATACTTAGACATTTAGATACAATGGAGCGGTATTTAGTGTGTATTTTATTCCTCATAGAAAAGTCAACTTTACTCTGCAGTTTTGCCTGTCAGAAAGTTTGCAAAAATTTTGGATTTGCTTGAAATTGTTTTGTAAGCTTTATGAAAGAAAATGACATTACTGATTGATAATGGGTATTTTGTTACTTTGTGCTGAATAAGGGCAGACAAGCTAATCTGTTAAACCTGCAAATTCCAGCCAATGTATAAATGATTGGAATGTGTTTGCTTGTGGAAAGGCATTTAATTAGGGTAGAATAAGGAACTTACTGTGCTAAATTCCAGATAAAAGAATAAATAACTCACGTGTGGGATGTTTCTGGATACTGGGGTTTATTTGAGGTTTATAGCTCTCAACAATTTTCTCTTTCGGCTCTTTGACAAATTAAAGATTGAAATCGTTTAATGCATTCCAGAAAAAAAAAAAGATGTAGATTTCCAAGTTTTGCTGATAAAAGACCTTTGGTTTTTGGTGATAGTCTAGAAGATTTTTTTGGTTTTGATTCCCTTTTTTTTGTATGTCAAAACTACATTTTGTCACTTTAAAGTGACGTAGAGAATCGTCTTTTTGGGTTTTTTTTTTTGCTTGTACATAATGAAATGGATTAAGCAATGAGATTTGCTGTAAATGAAGCCAGATTTCTGCTTAGGAAAATTGGATAAATGCTAACAGAACAAACTGTTAAAGTCCTTACACTTCCCTGTGTATTTCTATTATATCAGGTCATGGTGTACTTTCTAAAGCTGTACACATGGTTAACCAGTAATGACCCAAGACTAACATTTACGTTGTGTAGGTTTTATTCTTTTAATTTCAATCTTATGAGTGATCTTGGAGATGCCAATTCCATGAGGGGACACAGAATATTTGGGGCATGCATTAATTTTAATGAAGTACTATTTCCCTGGTATGTTAATAATATGTTGCTCGCTAAGCTGAGGTTTGCTTTTGGAAATAAGTAATTTTACTTAGAGCAAACAGGATTACGGATTAAATGCATATTTTTGCTTATTTACATTTTGAATTGATTCTTAGATTAATGTGCTTTTATAAGTTAACAGCAGCAGTTTGGTTTATTTTATACTTCTGTTGGAGTTAGTCCAGCAATCGTAGACGTGTATTGTATGTTATATATAGTGCCTTGGTGGTGGTTTTTGATACTTCAGATGCTTGGTAGCCTGGCAGCCATTATGTTGGAAACTTGTTTAAATGCGGCTAACTATAAAATGCAGTTTAATGTTCATACACAAGTTTGATGACCCAGGCATCAATCAAATGTTAACGCATCATCCCAAAATTTAGTGTTTATGAGATACACAGCAAATTATAAGACTAACCCAAACTTTAATGCAGTAATCTTGAAGTAATGAAATTCTAAACTGTTAGGATAGAAAGACTTGCGTAAAACTTGGGATATGTAGGACTTTTTTTAATAAGAAACAAATGAGTAGACTTGTATATCCCTTGTATGCTTATTAATACTATTATAAAATAATTGTCAAGCTCATAAAAAAAATTCAAGCTATTAATCTTTGAAAACCTTGCAAATTTAATAAATAACTCTGTATTGATAATCATTGTCTCTGTAAAGTAATTTTAATATGTGAATGTCATTTGGAGATTTACTGGTGTTCTCGGAAACTTAGACCTTTTGCGTATTGGCCATCTTAGCAATGGGAGTCTATTGGAAGTAGTGTGGTTCCCTATCCCCAATGTCATTTCCATACTTTGGTGGGGTTTTTTTTGGGGGGGGGGGGGGGAGGGCACAGTCTATATGGGAAGTGGCTGCAGCCACTACCGAGACTAGTATTTGCGGGGGTCATGATAGGCCAGCACGTTATGAGGCGAAGGGGTATCCCCCCCCCCCCCCATCTCCCTTTATCCTATATACACCCTAGACTATTGTTACCTAACACACACACCCCTGGATTCTGGTAACCAATGACCAACACAAAGGAGGGGGGGGGGGGGGGGGGTAGGGGATTAGTTAGGGGATAATGCGTACTAGTTTGCATATTAGCCGGATTTGAAGAGGGCCCCAATTTTGGAAGATGGTACCAGCCCATCCCCCCCCCCCCAACCTTTTGATGTTATGTAGGCCAAGTGTCCGGTGGAAATAAACGTGTCGACCTTTCAGAATGGATGTGCAAGTGCCCCTTTTAGTGATCTCCCCACCAAGTCTGAAAATCGGAATTCCGCCGCCGCTGTACATTCCATTCGCTCGTACCCCCCCCCCCCCCCCGCCCTGCGAGCGAATGGTTTCCCTATATAGTTTTGTCCGCCAAACGAAAAGAGGAACGAAACCCATTTTTCTTTTGGACAACAAGCGCCAAAAACTACAAAACTCAGTTTCTTTTGGGAAAGCAAAAATCTGGGGTTTTTTTTACAGCAAAATACAAAACGGAAAACAAAATGCATCTCTTTGTTTAACATTAAAAAGCAAAAAGAGAAAATACGCATTTACAATTACAGCCAAATTAAAGTGATCTTACTTGTGCTATTTCTGACCGTTGAGGGGGTACTTGTGACGGTCCATTAAATTATCAGATTGGGTCTTCTGTGGTCTGGTCACAGCCTCTTCTATCAATATTTTTGCGCACGTAAAGCTTGGTGCTCATTCAACAGACTACACGGACAACACCTCGCAATTAACATAGTGCTGGATAGTTCGTGTAAATTGCCCATTGTGACGGTAGTTTGAAGACATTTTACCAGAATTCTTGCATTGTTTGGATGCAGTTTTGTGGTGAGAAGTGGTGAACAGTTGATCAACAATGTAATATCGTCCCCAAGGAGTTTGTGTTCAAACGCTTGAAACATTTTGGTAAGTGAATTAACCATCTGAACTTCTTAATATTGATTCCAAAACCCATTGCTCCAGCACTACCACTGCACTACCAGCACTGCAGCAGCCAGCATGTCTAGCTTGAGTAACTCTGTTGTGCGCTTTCTTGCAATTTGCGCAATCTTAAGAATGAGCGCGCATTCTTAAAAACGAGTGAGCATTCTTAAGAATGAGGACGCAATCTGAAGAATGAGCGCTCATTCTTAAGATTGTGTGGGAATATTAGGCCTACTTGTGCAATTTATGAATTTTACGCAATCTTAACAACTGCACGGCATTTTGTGCCTATGTTAAATTTAACGAATTAAAGGATTAGGCCTAAAGGGGAAATAATCATATGACGAGAAAAGAAAATGATCTATGCTTCTGTACCTGTTGAACTACGATAATTTGAATTCAGTAAAAGCTGTGATTATTGTCCCCCATGGGAAGGTTTGTAATATTATAACTGAGGACTAGAACAAGTCTGGGAGGTGCTTTGTTTAGTCTAGACAAGTTACAAGTCCCTCACCATACATGTACGCATGCTGAGGAACACGTTTATTATATGTTTTTATTATCAGAATTCTTTCCACCAAACTATTCCCTTATTATTTCCCCGATACGCACAATACTTCTCTACTTTACATTGTTATATCTTTTCCCTAGTGAATTTGCATTGCCATGGTATAATTATTTAAGTATGGCCCAAGAATTAATCAGTGAACGAGGATGCAGCTAGACTCGCCAAGTGCAGCTGGTTCTCAGCATCGAAAAGATCGCTTCTCTTGTTGCACATTCTTAAGAATGTGCGCTCATTCTGGAAGATTTTTTTTTTTTGTAGATTGCGCAAGGATCAATTTGACAAGAAAGCGCACAACAACTCCAGCTGACATGCTCATACATGTAAGTCATATTCATTCACATGTTGTAGCCCTGCCCTGGAGATGTTGTGCGCTTTCTTTTGATTTGCGCTATCATAAGAATGCGCATTGAAGTAATTGAACGAAATTTGACGTAAAATCTGGCTCAAGAATTGGCAAGATCTCAACGTCCCGCAACCATGTCCTGATTCTTGCGATTTACTGGACTCACACCAACCTCGTTCCTAATGCTTACTCGTTTCCAATAGGAAGCAGGAATTGGAGACGAGGTTGGACATTCCCCAACTCACTCATGCGCATCATAAATACCATCATGATTCGATGGCTGTTTTCTGTTGCAGCTAAAGACATCGTTTTAGACAAGTTTCCAGTCCTTTCCTCTCTCACAGCACGCGGGCGCACTACTGCTCGCCGCGACGCGAAAATAAGAGGAAATCTTATTTTTTATTTTCTGAACAAATAACAATGACCTGCATACAAACAAGCAAAAATACACAGCAAATTTACATCTTACTTCTTGTCACTAATGTATGCAATAAAAAAAAATATTATAACACAAACAGGTGGATCTGGCTTCATATAAATTGAATTCATCATATAAGAATATTCTTGTCTTTTTCACTTTATTATCCAAATTTTATAATAATTAAGTTGAAAATGCAGTCATTACACCTTTCACCAGCTTGTGCCGTTTAATACATTGGCAAAATTGAACACTTGCTCTTCATGCTCTACGTAGCTTACACCTGCCACTAAAATCAGAAGAAAAACAAATGGAAAGCCCAGGCATGGAAAAGATCCTTGCTGATCTTGTTGGTGAAATGGGATATCAATTAAGTTTGCCACAATAAGCACAAAGACAATCCAGAGGTCTTCTTGTGGACAAAAAAAAGATGTAGTAGCCATCCTCCCCACAGGATCTGGGATGTGACATAAAACAGCCGTCAATCTGTCCAAGCGACAGCCATAATCGTATGCGTCACAAGAAGCAGACGGGTAGCTCGGAGGGCTCCGATAATTTTGCATGCAATTGACCCTGAGTACTTGTCCAGTAAATGTTAAAATTGTATTTCCGTTCGTATGGGTCTTCATTTTTGGCAATTTCTTCGAAATAACACTTCCTGAACACGCGTGAAGGCACAAAATGATTTCTAGGTAAGTTCTCAACCTGCATACGAAATGATGCGGATCGATTTCGCTGGGTTCAAAATGATACCAGAGTGTGGCGTTGTACATACATTGTACATACAACGCCACGTTCACAGATCTAGTTTGTTGCCAATTTACTGGGCGATTGTGTAGTGTAGGGCCCCTGTATTGTTTCGATCAAATTTTAACCAAAACTTTTTTTTATTAATAAAAAATTACACTGTCAACCTAAAGCAGACTTCTCTTAACCCTTACTCTCTGAGGGTAGTTAACTGCATGTCAGTTGGTTATGCCAATGCCCTCCAGCTGCAGTTTATTGGAGGATACTTTGATGTAGCAGTGAAGGCTCCAATTGGCAGGAGTTGGAGGCCCTGGAGGGTGCCTGATACTGACCAGCTGGGGGCACTCACTTTGTTATCAGAGGACTCTCATTGTTCTCTGTGGCATGTATTGGAGTGCCTGTCCAGTTACCCTTGAAATGACATGGCAGATATTGGAGGGCCATGCAAAAAACATAGGAGATTTTTTTGAGGCACAATTGGCATGCGTTGGAGGGTCAAGTAGGGTAAGGGTTAATGTAATGACACCTTTTTGGGAAATTTTGAACAATTTCTTGGGGTAGAAATTACGATTTTCCTATGCGGTTTATTGGCCGGTTGTAGCTTGAGTAACTCCAGCTAACACATGCTCATCAGGAATTCACATGTAACGCTGGAGTGTGGTCTTAAGAGACCCTTCCTGAATGGCCTCTCCAAAATTGTCCTTTTTCACCTCTATTATCCCACCCCAAATACATACCTCACACCATTCAGCAGTCATTCATGAAGCTAATGATCGACTTGAAACAGAACAAAAAAAACCAAAATGTGAAAAAATTTGACGATTTTGGCGGCTTGTCCATAAAAAGCGTCCTGTTCAAAGGGCTGTCGTCCATCTTGTTTGGCTAATTATGCAAATGAAATGCATCACGTGATGATTATCGAAACAAATTTGTGCGATGTATGTGGGTACCATACCGCTTTCAGGCATCGCTAGTGGATTCAGTTTTTGTCTGGTGCGTTGTCGTTGAAGGCAGTCATTGTCTTGCTTTCTACGACTGCTTTCCACGACAATGCGCTATGCACGACTTGTGCGCTCACTATACATCGCGCGGTGATCGCCATTTTTATTTTCAAGTTGAGCACTAACAAACATCGCCTACTGAGCGTGTAGCATATTTCGATCGTGTTGTGAGCATGCACAATGGCGAGGTCAACTGCTTGGGTCAAAGTCGTGAGCGTTGGCCCCCGCACACACGTCATGCGCGTACCTGTGAATTTGCAGTCATTCACTTTGGTTTTACGACCGTATATTCTTGCATATCGGTCATGCAGGGGTGTATATGGAAGTGCATGTTGTCAACCTTTGCAGCAAATCTTTGCTAAGACTTTCAACTTCACCCACAAAAAAGAGTGCATTTCATGAATAAATTCTTAAAAGGTACACCAATTGAAGAAAGACAAACATAACACTCACTATAAAAACACGGCACTTTGGCACAGAATCATGGAAAAGCTTACAAGTGTGCGATGAAGTGCCGATAACGTGGTATAGAGGTGACCAATTTCAATGCAGTAAACTATTAAACCGTACTATTGATTATAGAGAATTGGAAAATGATGTCGTAGTGCATCATGTGACTGTTTTTAACATGTGACTGTTTTTAACCAATGAGAAGCTTCAGATCTGGGGGAATCCCTTAGGGGTCCCCCCCCCCCCAAAAGGCTCCGGTTTCTGGTATACGCGCGCGTCACCGTAGCCATGCGCGTCAGCAAAATTAAGAAGTTTTTTTTTTTCAATGTAAGATGATATCTCAAAACCACCCAACTCACTGGTTTGACTGGAATCCTGCTGCTGCACAATTTTAACTTGTTTTTAGATGGGGTTACGATCGAGTATAAGCTTTATGTGGCCTCTCTGGGCTCCCATATATTTTGCATTAAATTTAGTCGGGCACCATTTGCAGTCATTGGCCATTCGGCCGACATTTGAAGAAAAAAGTTAAAAAAATATAAAAAATCCGCATCGCCGCACCACTTTTGGGGCAAGCTCCATACCAGAAACCGAAGACTTTTTTTTGTTGGCCTTATCGATGTATTGGTTTCTGCCACGCGATTGTGACGTCACATAATGAGTGGCGCTGTTCACCAGTTGGCTTATTTGCATAATTTATGTCGGTGAATTCTGAAAGCAAAGTTTGATGGTGTTGGGTTTTGTTGTTGTCATCGTCATTTTACCCTCAAATTTCCCTAACAAATTTTAAAAACCCGCCCTTTAATATCTATGACATACATGCCAGTGTTGGAAATTAATTACCGGTACAAAAAAAAGGTCCCCAAATAAAAGTTGTAGCACACATAAGCTCAGAATAGCTGTTTCAGTGACTCCAAAGTCGAACAAATAATGTTTAAAAGATGATCTTTTGCTAACAAAATTGGTTTAAGTGGTCAAAAATTGCCTCAGATCGCACCACAGAGCGTCTAGAATCCAAAAAGTTCCCGGACCCAACGCCGTTAAGGCTTCGCGTTCGCATTAGTGCTTAAATCAAGGTACCGGTAGGCCCCCCCCCCCCCACACTTTTGAGAAGCGATTGAAGCCCTTCAATGGTGAGACATGGGAGGTGGTTTTCAAAGCATGTTTGTTGCTCATTTTTTTGTTTTTTTAGACATTCCTGTCATATTTTTGATTTTACTGATAAATAAGTACGCTGATTCACTGGATATGCAGGAAATTCCTAGGCCATCTGTAAGATGAAATGACGGACATTGGCCGACATTCTTGAATCATACTATACATTTTTGTAATGATTAATCCAGCCCTTGTTCCATATTACTTGTTCAATGTAGAATCGGTATCATTCAACACTAAAGCAACCTGTTTAGTATTTATGAAAGCAGGATGCGACTTGATACATGTTTATAACAAGGACACAAATTTGTGACAAATTCCTGTACCTCTTATGAAGATGAAGACTTGAAGATGTGTACGCGGTACACCCAGTAGTTTGAAAATACCTACAGGTAGAGACGTAAGAATGGCCAGTTGCAAGCCCTCAATTGATAGCTTTACTTGGAAGAAATTTGGGATAATTTCATGTACTGCTTCCCAACACTTAAAATGAAATGCCTGCCCATGTTTTCTTGAAGATAATCCTCTGTAATTTCTGGAAACCTGAGAAATGTATCGAACTTGTTGGTGGGCAAAGAAAGAGAGAAAACATGACAGATTACTTCATACACTATGTATATCGACTTCTGCCCGACTGCCCGTGGTTCCCTCTAAATGTCGCACTTTTGTTACTGTGTGTCTGGAAAGACCCTTATATCAGTTTTATATAAAAGATTTTATACTCATAATGTATCTATGCCCCCGACTGTCTGTGATATTTAGTGATATTAGTGCATTAATAATGTTCTTAATAATAAATTGTCAGTTACCGGTATGTGCTCATCTATGAAAGTATCACTGACTTCAGTGGTGTGTTCAATATACATGTAAACTATACCAAGTCGATTAAAATGGGCAAAAAAAGGCATATCACAATAATACTGACCGTCCACTGTGTGCACAAGTGCAGATTTTGATTTTTGGGCCGGGTGGAGGTATTTTCATGCTACATGTACCGTAGATACCCACTTCCTATGCAAACTACATCCCCCAAATGACCCAATGCATCACCTCTGAAGTGGACGCAATCATATTCCAAAATGTTGGTTTTCATCCCCATTATCACCCCCTGCTACCCTGTCTGGATAATTTCTGCATAGCACGAACGGGCAGTGTACTGTATACTGTCATCTTTCAATTTTGTGATTTCTTTATGTTAAAAAAATCTCCCAATCAGTACAAGAAAAGTAAATTGTGGTGCAAGTAAAGAAATGTACTGTACATGTTCATGTACCATTACACTATGACCTGCACAGGATGTGCATGTGTACATGTGTGCTATGTAGATTTCTTTGCCATACAGTCAGTGTTTATGGGTCAAATTGCATCGCAGGAGAAGCAGTGCCTGCAGGGCATTCATGTAACCACAATCTCATCCCTATACATGTATGGTCAGAAATTGCCCAATACCCGTTTTCTTTTTGAGCTGATGACTTGTTATGAATATTACATGTCACTCGCATAATGCACAGAGCTTGAGTCTTGTGAATAGGCTTGCTGGAGGACCGTGGACAGCATACATGTACACGCTGATTAAGAAGAGGCCAAGCGCGACTCGGGTTTCCCCAAGTTGCTATAGTAACAAGGTGTGCTAATCCCAGTGCAGAAGGTCCGGGAATGGGATGGAGTGTGGTTGCACTGGAAACACAGAGATGGCCAAAAAAAAAGAGAAACAAAATTATGATGAATTCTTGGAGACGTAGCATAGGATTACTGGGCTAGTGTCGTGATTCACTGGTATAATGGAATTTATTATCATATCGGATGTTATGTGTACGTAGCTAGACGGTTACATCTATGCATACATGTCCGGTACAGTACCGGGTATGTCTTGTGTTTCCTTTTTAAAAACACCAAGATCTGATGTAATTTCTACAAGGGAACATGTGCATTATTCAGTTTAAATTGTATTGATAAAGGGAAACATCAATGCCATCTGGATATTTTACTCCTATGTTGAAGAAAAAATATCCCTTGAAATTCCACATTTTGAATACATAGTACAGAAATTGGAGCTGAGAGACGTGAAATGGAATGAAACGGAATCAGTTTCCATCACAATACGTCCAAAGGTTATTGTCAAATATGTAATACAGTACATGTACATGTACATACATGTGATGTTGTATTTTAGGTTTCCATTTATGTCAGGTACAATGTATACATGTACCGGTATGTGAATGTTATTTTGGTCCATGGCAGTATTCTAAGGCCACTGTATTTTATTTCATAACCATTGCTTCGATTTTTCACCTTCTGCACAGATCCAGACTCCATCACCAGATAAACCCAGCCAGAACAGGTCCAACCATTGTGAGTCATCTGAGGGGAGTTAGAACAAGATTGTCATAATCTCTCACATGCTCTGGAGCTGGAAACACCCCTACACGCTTAAATGATCTGGCCTAAATAATAATAATCACACTCCGGGGACATGCTGGAAATTCAACCCATAAGAGTAAGTGACATTACTTCAATGCATGGTATTTGACACCTAGTAGAATAGGGGAGTATAATGCTATGGCCATGGTTGGTTTACTTATTTTATTTTGCCTTTAAATGTTTGCCTTTTACAAGTATTATTTCGTTTTGCATGTTTGTGCTTGGATAATACTCAAGAAAGGTTTGTTTTGTTGCATTATTTTATACATAAAATTTTGCGTATTGAGGTTAAATTTTGTTTAAAGACTAGAACTCCGTACTAGTAGTAGAAGGAATAGTGTGATGATGTGTGTGTTCAACTTCATTTCTTGAAAATGTTATGAAAAAGTAAAACTAAAAATGTTTAGTGTTCAACATGCACATTCACATGTTGACATACATGTACATGTACATGTTGTCTAGCAGTAATGTGCAGTAAATTATGTCATGTCAGTATGTGTGCTTTATCAGTTACCGGTAACTTTGCACATGTGGATGTTTGTTCATGTTTGTAAGGAATATTAAATCTACAAACACGCCCCAATTACTCGTGAAATAGTGTTTGCATTCATTGACATCTACAGATCCAATCGTAGATGCTGTGTCTGAATTCAATCCATTGCAAAAGGCTGATGAGTCAGTCCATACAAAATGCACCAGTCTGCCTTTCATACTACATGTAGTCCTTTTTTAGGGGGGGGGGTACGGAGGTGTTATTATTGAAGTCTACCATGTGGTGCTGAGGAGCAGCCAGTTTGGTATGCATGGCTTATGGCCTGACCTTCTAGGCCTTTATGCGGAATGGCCAAGTACATGTACATCCCTGCGCTGCACAATATTGTACATAATATGCACTGCATTGTTGTTTATATTTTGCGCTACATACATGCATGGATGTTTTGTGTTTAACTTACCCAATTTATTCGGGTGCATGTACATGTAGGATACATTTCATATTCCTTAATGTACAGCAAACCTGTACATGTACATGTATGTACATACATTAAATGTTTGAGATTATTGTTACTGCTGGTTCCATGCACAAAATTGAGTTTTACCATATTTAAGTGAAATCAGGATGTTGAAATAAGGGAGAAAATCTGATATTTTGGTTGAGGAGAGTCAGTCATATTTGTTGTTATCCCATTGGCATTAGGAGTGAATGGATGCAAGTATAAATCATGCATGCTGTGAGAACAGCAAGTGCATGTGTTGTAAATTGTCCTTTGCTGAGTATGGTCCGGGCCTGGCTAACAACAACACGTGCACTGAACTGGCCCAAGGAAATATGCATTCAGGGATCTCCTTGAAAACACACTAAGGGGTCATCTCAGCAGTCCTTGAGAGGAAATTGGGTATTATTCAGTGCCAGGAAGCTGTATCCTGACAACGTGCATTTCCGGTATCCTTGAATTTGGTTCACTTTCCTTCTTTTGTTGCCTAAATTTGTGTCATTTCTAAGATGCTGGAAAACTTTGCACACATGTAAAACCTGTCTTCTTATACTAAATTAATATGCATTTTAAAGTATGCATCATGGAAACTGCGGCACACACATGCTTTCCAGATCCTTTACACACAACATGTGTATGAAATCCAAGCATTTTTATGTGAATTTTAATACTTTTTATTATTTCTATCTACATACATGTATGTACTTGCACGTGTATTTATGGTGAAAGTTAACATTCAGAATGATGCAAAATGGTGTTTGTTTTTAGTTTTAAGATCGAAATTGAAACCACTCCGTTGCAATATTTCAGACAAAATATTACTAGTAATGGATTTTGACGGACATCGTCTTCTACTAAAGTGGAACTAAGTCTAGGGTTAAGAACAAATCCTACAAGTCTTTTCAATTTTGTAGAAATTATTGTAATTGCCTTATCCGCAACTACCGGTATTTTCCAATAATGTTCATTTGGCTGAAAATATGATTATGAAACTCGAAACACACATTTTGATTTTTCTTTTACTGTAAAATGTGCTTTGCTAGTAAGTATATCCTGTGTTTCTGTTGAAAAACAAATTCATCCTTCAGTTACTGCCCATGCATTGTATGGTTTATGATTTTAATTAAAAACTGTGCACATGTACATGTACAATGTACCACTGTACCTCTTTACAATCTGTGTACACAGAGTGTAAAGCTGTCCCACATTTATTAATACAGGTACAGTTGAAAACGGTGCACAGAGCATGGACTTTAGTATTGATAGAACTCGGCCATTATCAAAATACTGGTATTCCAGTCACTTGATAGTCTGCAATACAATGCATGCAGTACGGTACACCTATGTATCTGTGGGTTTTTTCAGGCCATGAAATATGTACCGGTACATGCGGATATTGTACAGACAAAACATTCACAGTTTAAAAAATGTGCATTTCTTTTTAATCAAAATTACACATAGTGAACATTTTGTTCACATCATCAAATGTAATGAAATTTACTTGATAACTTGAATTTATATTATCTGAGTGTTCCGCACAACTTTTTGGCTTTATGTGACTGCATTGAGTTCTTACACTTTGTTCTTAAATTTTCCTTTTTTCAATCAGATATTTCATTTCAACGACTGCCATTCCAAGAAAATAAAATGGTTCAGTTATAATGCTATTAACTACCGGTAGAGTTTTGCAATTTGTCTAAACTCATTAAGTTGTGATTGCAATTATAGGAGTAATCACAAAACAATATTTTGATTGTATTTTATTGAATCCAATACACATTTTGGATTAAAATTTCATAAAGAAATTTAAATGTTGGGGAAAGGGTTGATAAAATGTGATGTTACTTTGAAAATAATTTTCCATTTCCACTTTGTAATTGCAACGTCACATACATTGTAATTTGTGATTCCTGTCAACATGTTTGGTATTTATTCACCATCTGTGTCTCTTGCATTAGTAGAGAGATTGTGGGCTGTTTCTGCTGCTGCAGCAGGTCTGCTTGTTTCCTTGCTACTCTGTGCTTCCTGTAGTAATTGCTCAGGCGCATAATAAATGAGACTACTCGAATAATCAGTCTGTTATTGAAATGCTAAGGGAAGGGGAGTTTGAAGGACAGTCGGTGTATGCCTGTGTACCTTCACTGTGAGACATTGCAAAGTGTGATAAGGTACTAGACTGGAGAGAAGTCTGGGTAGCAGATGTGGTTTTGCATAAAAGGCTGCACGTCTAGCACATTGCGAATGTCAAGAAATTGTCTTTGTAGTACAGTAATAGAGTGTAGAGTACATGTATACTGGTAGTTATTGATAGCTGTGCATGTGTTGTACTTTTAGTGTACATGTACACTGTACGGTACTACAACACTGATTTTCCTTGAGATTCACTGTTACATGTGTATGACAAGTCAAACTCAAAGACACTTGTCCATAAATTACAAATACGTTTATTAACATGTATGATGTACATGTATGTGAACGTCTTCAAACCAGATTGATATTGTTTGACACTTCTATCAAGTAGAAACTAAGCGTGCATGTTATCATCTTTTTCAAATAAATTGCAAAATGTTTTGCAAAATTTTGAATTCAAGGAACATCCATGAATGATCCGTCCAACATCATACCTGTTACATGGCTTTTGCAGTCAGAACTACATTTTGTAAAATAAATCGCAGCAAACAAACATGCGCAGGTGAAAAGGCTCCATGGAATGCAAGTTTTACATTTGTATACTGTTTATTTTTCATTATTCAGCTTCATACACACATGTACCGGTACGTTGTTTTATTGTCAAGTTCAATAGTTCAGCCTAGGAAAAGAGACCATGTACATGTACATGTACCAGGTACGTATTGCTTGACTGTATTGTACGTGTATGAGTCAAGTCCTATCATGGGCAATAGATTTCCTGCCCTACATACTTGTATAGTACCATAAACCAGCCTGCCTCTAAGCTGGGATTGGATGGGACCTATGATGTCTGCACTGCAGTCTCTCTATGTCTATTGCACACTGGTCAGGTCAGGTTATATCAGGTCATCTTCATAAAATCAGAGATTGATTTACATATCAACCCCTCATCGTTTCAAACTTGTTTCGTGCAAACCGGGCTTATTCCGCTCACTTACTGCTATTTTGGACCCTAACGAGACTTTCAACCCGAGTCAAAACTCTCCACCCTGGTCTGGAGCAGACTGGGGCGAAATCAATCTCAAGATTGACGCAGGCTTGGCCCAGGGTTGAACATTTCCAAAGTGTGAAACAATGCATGTTTTCAATCCTGCATCAAGCCCAAGATTTGTTTAGTGTGAAGGGCTGTATTTTGTGATCCAAGAGTAATTGTAATTTGTAATATGATCAAGCAATAAATGGGATGAACAAGACTGTACAATGTACATTTGTACTTAAAGAGGACCAATTGTTTGACTAGAGGCTGTAAACTAATTAAGTACAGTTTCTTCCAAGGATTGGTTAATTGAATTGTCTTGTAATTTGTTTACTGTGGATACTCAAGCTGAAAAAACCAAGCCTTTAACAACGTCATTTTAAACATACATGTAGGCTTCATTTTTTTATGTGTGTTTGTACTGGAGTACCTATGTCATCCTTCTGGTTCTTTCTTTTATCGTCTTGAAACCAGATGCATCCGTTTCCTCCCTTTTTTGGTCAGATCTATGTAAAGTGAACCGCATCACTGTGACCTACTGGTAAAAAAAAAAAAGAAGAAGAAAAGAGAGAATAATTGGGAGGCATGTGTAAACAAATGTAAAAAAAAAATATTCAGGGTGAGAAAAAGAACTTGAGGAATTTTTATAGTAAAATTCAGATACAATGTACGGTACATGTACTTTTTACATTTTTAAGGGCATTGAGTTTCTGTTGTGTTAATCATCTTTTTCAATTTTTGTTAACCCCTATTCAAAGTTATTTCCAATCAAACGTACACATATACATGTACTTCAATTGCTGATTTACATGTACCAATTTTTTTCAGAAATATGTACAATATATAGAGAAAATCTGCACCTTTAATTGTTTATGTCACCAAAGGTTTATTTAGTCTGCACACTTACACTTTACACACAAAGACCTTTGATATGCTATACGTGTATTTCCAGTTCATTCATAAACACACTGGCCTTATGGCCATGGGCTCTTGTGTTGGCAGAAACCTTTTGTCGTGTTCTGTACTTTGATATTACAGTGTTGACTTAAGAAGAAAAAATGTATTCATTTCATTGGTTGTTGGTCATTAGTCATATTGGACATGGATTGTGGATATGATTGATAGGTGATTTAATTAATTCTGGACTAAGGATTTGCTCTTTGTTGCTAACTATACGGTACAGTACCAGTAGATGTACATGTAGCATACATGTACACGTACATTTTTTTTGTACACTATACAAAAATGTACATGTACATGTGTACATTGTACATATGCAACACATTTTGTACAGTGTATGTCCATGTACATGTACATGTACATGTACCTTATTTCTTGTACATTGTATTCATGACCTTCAAACAGTGTGTACATGGGTACATGAATATCTACCCAAGCTTTGGATAGTTGCAACATCTAGTCCCCAGGGTGTCGAGCAGTGTGGGCCCACCACTATACTTGCTCTCTCACCGTTAACGTTTGTTTGTATGAGTTGTCTGGGGTAAAAATGTCACGACGTGAGTTACGTAAATGCAATTTTTTCCCCAAAGGAAATGATTATTTTTGGGAAGGTATACGTGTACATGTAATAATTAAAATGAACATGAAAACACATAGTTGTTGGAAAAAACAACACCGAGTACTGGTACACTATATAAATCCATTACTTGCTAATTGCGGTATCGATTTCAGGATACAGGAAGAAAGTTTCCTATCCAGGGCTTATTATTGGAAACGAGGTTGAAAATAAAGTGAGCCCTGGGGACGAGGATACGACTACATGTACCGTACATGTACCTTGTACACACACATTGCATTTGTCTGCCAAAGAGGATGATCTTGCTGACACAAATTGTTAGGAATATCAGATTGCTGAAATATTGTATGTAGAGTTCTTTGACATGTGTAGGACCTGTCTAGCCTGATATAATGCAGTCTCTATCCACATACCTTAGATTGCTCCTACCTGACAAGTTGTAAATTATTGTACATGAATGTTGGCTTGAATGTGTTGAGTTTTTTATTCATACAGACAGCAGTTCATGATCTGTGTCGGAAATCGAGATGCAGTTTTGGAATTGTGTATGTTAATGTTACTGTAACAGGTATTCTTAATAGGACACATACCAGTACCTAATTGTTTTTTTTGAATAATTGTTTGTACAGGTTCATTCAGCCTTATGATGAGATGTGAGAGCTGAACTAGAAGTCATCTGGAGAGAGAGAGAGAGAGAATGGAGCCTCCACCGTCAGGCACCAACCACATTTCATCACAACCGTACTCCCAGACTTACCCACACGTCCAACAACCTTACGGTCGGGAGCAAGACTTCAGTGGCTATCCACAGAAGATGGGTGATCCATACTATAGTTCTCAACGGACTGGTACCACAACTCCTATCTACCCAACACCCCTGCCTGCCCTGATTGAACCCAGTCAGAACTATCCCCCTAGAGGACTAGATGGGCCTAAGATTGGAGGGCCACAGTTTGGGTTGACCAGCCCTGGATATGGCCAAGGAGGAGGGACTGAAATGGGCCCTATGATGCGAGCATTAACAGAGGATGATATGTTTATGCCACAACCTCCTGAGTACCGTTCACCGATGCAGAACGTTGCTGGTCCGTACGGTCAACCTATGGGGTATACTTCCCCTGATGGAACTCGTACAGGATATGGTGCAGGACAATACCCAAGCCCATTCAGTCCTGGACATAGTCCTCGTGCCTCTCAGATCTACCCGGTCCGTAGCCATGCTATGTCACCTATTGATAGTGGGTTTGGAGCCAACCCTTCCCAGTATCACCGACAAACAAGCCAGAGTCCTCACATGAATATGGTTAGTCCGACTGGCCAGAACTCAGTCTTCAACAGAGGCACCGGTGTCACAGTACCCTCGCCTGTTGGAATGCAAGGACAGAGTATGTACTCTCATAGTCCCGGTTCCTCTCAAGGTGGGCGGGGTAACACCCACTTTCCATTTAGTACATCCCCAGTAAGCCAGCACACATCTCCTTTACCCTCTCCCAGTAGCCTACGATCACCTGGTGTTGTGAACAGCCCACATAATCTAGCAACAGCTTCACCAGGTCCATTTAATACTCCGTCCAATCCAAGTCCGGTCAATGTGCCCAGACCTATCAAATCCCCTGTGGCAGCATTTCAGACCCCAGCCGCTGTTACTCAGTCTGGACACCCTCTTGTGTCCCCCAAAGTCAGACCTGTTGACAATGGTGACCACAACTCTACTGGAACTCCATATGTAGAACTTGTTCACTCGAGGAATGACACTCAAAATAAAACTCACTCATCGAGTAATCCAAAGTCACCAGAGAGCCCTTACCCAAAGAAGAAAGAAGACAGGTGTAGCAGTGGACATTTGCCCAAACTAGAAGAGATGGTTGCATTTCTTGGCGAGTCTGCTACCCAGGGGATTTTAACACCAAACGATAAAGAAAACAGTGAAGAAAATGGTGAGAATGAATCCAAGGATGTAGCCAAAGTTGACAACAATTCAGAAACCACAAAGAAAACAAATGGAGAACAACAACCACCTTCTTGTGTGATTCATACAGGGAGCGTTAAGTCTGCAGAAAGACAGCCAGATATATCAAGTGCTAAGCAACATATCATTGTTCAGGAAAACAACAGGTGTAATCAGGGAAATGGAAGCCCAAGACCCAACAGCAAATCACCAAGAACTGACAGAAGTTTCATAGATGCCAGTCCCAAGGGTCCTAAGACTAACGGTGATGTCAGAGAGAGAAGTCCATTGCCGAGACAACCAACAAAGTCCCCTAAGTCACAAAGAGGAAGTAATAGCAACAAAGACACCTCCTTTGATAATCTTAATGGTCCCACTGAAAATGCAATCACACAGAAAATAGCCATGAATAGTTCATTGGATTCAGACACAAGAAGGACCCAGTCACCACAGAGCTTCAAAGTTGCCAATGACATCTCCCAGGTTGACAAGAACTCAATGAATGTAAACAACCAGCTCAAGCGTAAATTCTCTGAGACGCAAAATGACGTCTACCACAACTCCTTCAACAGCTATCCTAGAAATGGTGGGCAGTGTGTTACGGCCTACCCACTAACATACACCCCACCTAACAGCGGTAAAGAGATAAACCAGTGTGGTCCTAACAGTCCAAGAGGTTCCAAGTCCCCGGCAAGAAAGGCCAAGGAAGATTTCTCTGATGGTAATCCCCGCAAAGTACTAAAAACTTACAGTGGAAAGAAAAAAAGGACTAGTGTAGACAAGCAGGGTAATGCCATTGTATTACCCAGTCCTCTGCTTCCCTTGTCTGTGACCGATCCCCCAAAGCCAAAAGAAGAGAAGCAGACAAGTTCCGAGGAACTTCCTCCAACCAATGTTGTTAAAGAAGATCAAGGTGCTAATCCACAGACCTCAACAACAGAGACCATTGCACCACCTAGAAGCATTACACCAACCTTCCAGAATCCAATGACCACTCCTTCAAGCCAACGTACAACTCCTGAGAAGCCTGTCGCGCCTCATTCACAAAAGGCTCCTCCCAGTACCCCAACAGGCCAAGCTATATCTGATGATCCATCAACCCCTACTCCTACTAAAAGGCGAGGTAGACCACCAGGCAGTAAAAACAAACCAAGAAAAGAAGGTGACACCACAAAACCCAGAAAGAAACCCGTCAAGAAGAATTTTGACATGAGTTTGGAAGTCAAAGATGAACTTGGAAAATTCAAACACCTCAAGTCATCTGTGAAAGGCAGAAGTTCAGATTCTCCGGTTCCACAGCATGCCCGAGCTCGTGGTCCCATACTAAGAATAACTGGTACCCGTGACAATCCTGTCTCTAGTAAGATTGTGAACAATCCAGATGCATTGGCAACAAGTGCTTCGGTACCAAGTAAAAAACGTGGGTCAAAGCATGACAAGACCTCCAACAAAAACATTCAGAGCGTGAGTCGAGCTCCTCTAGGACCTGCTACTAAACAATCTCTGACTGTTAATAATCCAACGGGACCATGGCTATGTGCACTGTGTGGCAAACCTGCTAACTATGACTCCTTAGGAGATCTGTATGGTCCATATTACCCTCCTGGATACCAGATTCCTATTCTCAGTCCACAAAGTACTCATGAAAAAACTAAAAGTGTTGTTGCTGCTGCAGCCAGCAAGAAGCAACAACAACATGTCAGGACAAACCAAAAGGGCAAATTAAAAGCCAAAGTCTCACCCATCCCTAAAGCTGCCAGGACATCTAAGGTGTCGTCCAAAGGGAAAGCATCAAGAACAACCTCAGCACAGCGTCAACGCAAATACTCAGATGAGGCAGAATATTTCATGTTCTTGGAAGAGGCAACTACGTCATCAGGTCGAGTGTCCAAGACACCAAAGAGAATGACTTATGAGATCTCCAAGGTAACCAGCCATCGTGGGGGTAATCGAAGGAGGAAATCAAGTGAAGTTGAAGACAGGGGACCATGTGATCCTAATGAGTATTGGGTTCATGAGGATTGTGTTATATGGACCCATGGTGTATATGTTGTTGGAGGAACTCTGTATGGACTAGCTGAATCAATCAAAGCTACACAAACAGTGGTGAGTAAAGACCAGATGTTTGTTTTTTTGCTTGGCGTATTTCAAAAGCACTGCATTTGCAAGTGATGATGATGCTACTTTAGAGAGTCAAGTGAGGACAAATTATGATGCAACACATTATCTTCCCATTTGTTTTTGTTCAGTGAAAACCATCTAGACCTTTACAGGGAACCTCACCCCTTATCAGAAACATTTCCAAATTATTGTAAACAAGTTATTGAATTAAATTTAAAAAAACAGCTAAATTTTTGACAAAACTGCCAGCTGTTTCAAACCAATATCACACATGTTCAAAATCAGGTTTTCTTGACTAGATGATTGAAATGGATTGTTTTAATAGCCCCTTATGTTCAATTTTTGTTGTATTGTACATGTAATAAGTGCTTCGATTTTCCCACCAGGAATGACTTGCAGCGATACATTTGTACATGACCTGTAAATGTACAAAATATATCTGATACTGTAATATACTGTATACTACTTGTAATCATTTGAATTCTCATCCATATCTTGCCTGCCCTCTTTCCACTTGTTATGTATTGTGTGTTTCCTTTATATATATTGTACATTTATATGTACATTGCCTTATGTATCCTCCGTGTCATCATTGTTCCCTCCTCAGGCGTGCTTTGAGTGTAAAGATAAAGGTGCTTCACTCGGTTGTATGAGTAAAGGTTGCAAGAAGACTTATCACTACGTCTGTGCTGTTCAAGCTGGTGAGTACTTGCATAATGGGTCAGTCAATAAATGTGGGGTCCAAGAGTATGACATTTGTTGGTGTCCCTGTTAAACCTGACCTGTGTAATTTCCCAAGCAAGTATCATTCAAACTGATTTCAAACTATATTTTTATTTGTTTGACATGTACTTTGCTTTACATGTACATAATCACCTTTGGAGATGGAAGGCATTAAAGAACGTGGGCAGAAATAAAATAAAATTATATCTGTCGAACAGGGACACAAAAGAAATTGGACCCCAAATGTATGGAACGACCCACATGTTAGCGTTATAATCCTTCTGTTTGTACTTCATCATAATACACGCGTACATGTATTTGTCGAGTGTAATGCTACGTATGAAGTGCAGAGTTTTCACTTGCATAGGTACTGGTTTAAATAAACTTGTTTTGCAAGTTCATGACATTTTTTCTTTTCCAAGCTTACAAAACCTATGACTTCCCAAAGCATTTTGCTTGCATACAACTGTATAATGTTACTCAGGATCATGTCTGCTTGTACTGGAAATTCCAGCATAAATAAAAAAGTAAAAACCAAATGGATAGAGTTACTTGGTTTTGCTTTGTGGCCTGTGGAACGCTCGCTGCATTTGACTGCACAGAGTGACATAGTTTTGGCTTCATGCCAGGCAGGAAAGCGAGGGGTCATAGAAGGGTCCAGAGTAGGGTAGGAAGGAACTGACTGACAAGGTGGGGGGGGGGGGGGTTTGCTGAATTCCTTCAGGATGTCATAATGTACAGTGTGTCCCTTGCCATGTGTGTGTCTCTTGCCTGTGTAAGTGATCTAAACTGAATATGTTGACCCAGATACTGCCATCTTGGGACGTTGTGGGACGTCTTTACCTGGTCCCCTGAAGTCAACATAATTAGTATGCATGGCTCAACATATAAAATGTGATGAGACAGATTTCATGTGCACTCAGTCTAAAAAATACCCTTTGCATAATATTTGCAGTTTTCCGAACCTACTAGTATAATGCCCCTACATGTATGTTCATGTGGCCTTTCTTAGCTTGACACTGTGCCAGAATTAGCCAGACATTTGCCAGTGTGTTGACTAGTCTCCGCATTTCTTGTGTGGTTACATGTGTAATGCTGCCGGTCTGTTTATAGACTGCAGTTGACGTAGACTACATGTAGTACAGTTATTCCTAGAGAGAGAGAGAAAGGGGACACTGCTGTTTCCTGTTACTAACTGGAATTCCTTAATCACTTTGTCTTGTGTTTAAACAAACACAAGATTCATGATTTTAGAGAGTTTTTATGTTATACTTCTGATTTGTAATTAACAAGTGTTCTTATGAGGCAGTTAATTTAATATGGCAGTCCTAAATGTTTAATTTTTTGAGGTACGTGTAGATTTGGAAAATGATTATAGAATCAGTAAATTACTCTTTCTGGTACATTTTTGTGAGCAGATACCTCAATGTTTCTTTTTCTGTGATATACATGTAATGTACCTGTTGTAATTACCTCATTCTCGGAATGATATCAATAGTAGTCACTTGCAAATTTTGTGTCCGTTGCATAAAAGTTGCGAAACAGTAGTAGACATCTACTAATCAATTAAATTTCAAAGATAGGGTTAAGCATACATGTACGGTAGGTATTTATTAAGTGTTTGAGACAATTTGTTTGATTTTCTGGTTTTTTTATGTGAACGTTTCTTCTGTCCTTGCAGAGTGTCAACTACAAGTGGACAATTACTCCATGATCTGCCCTCAACACAAGGTAAACATAATCATTGAATTATGAATTAAACCACGTAACTGTCAAAACCTGTTGGAAGGGGATTGTCGACAGGGAGACCTTGAATACTGCTACCACTTGTGAAGCAGCCATCTTAGAGGGCAATGCCTTTGTTTTGCTGGGGTATGCATGAGCAAACCTTCTGTGCATTAACTGTTACTAAACTAAATCCATCATGGACAGGCACTCACCATTGCTGACCCATCACATCTATCAATGTCAGTCAAGGCATGGTACCCTCAATTGACACAACTACCACACTATTCATAAGATGGATTTTTGTTCCCCAGAGTTGTAATGACTCGAGTCAATGACTTGCCGACTCGAGTCACAATTTTTGGTTGCTCGAGTCGACTCGAGTCCTTAGGGGAAAATTACTCGACTCGAGTCCCTCATCAGAATGACTCGACTCGACTTGAGGAAGGCTAATAAGACTCGAGTCCCAAAAATAAAAGCAAAACTTTGCAGAATTTTTTTTTTGAAATGGCTTACGCCAGTGCCGTTTTTTTGTTCACGTCACGTTAGAATGTTAGCGAATAATGTATACATATACAGACGCGGTTTGATCGGTGTTCCCATTAGTTGAATGGCGATCAGCTGGCACCCCTCTTTTTATTTTCATTAAGAGTCGAATGTGGTTTCACCACATGTCGTGGGCCGAGTGTAAAATTTAAAAAAATAAAAAATGACTTTCTCTCTTGAGTTTATTTATTGCATAGTGTTCAAATATTTGTGACTCGAATTGACTCGAGCTAAATACTTGACTCGACTCGACTTGACTCGACTACACACTGTGACTCGACTCGACTCGACTCGACCTTCTTGACCTAATGACTCAACTTGACTCAAGTCACTTCTTTAAAATGACTCGACTCGACTTGAGTCACAAAAATCAGTGACTCGTTACAACTCTGTTAATGTTCCCTCAACGTATAAACACTGTATACTCGGTGTGTTACCTCCCGAGTGAAAATTGGGGAAAAATACCACAGCCTGTCAATTGTACCAATATGAGCCCAAATTACAGAACTGTTCAAACCTGTCACCTGATAGATTTTGACGGATAGGGGTATTGGTCTCCATATGGTCACTGGGAGAGGGAAGGTAAATTCCTGAAACATGAAAATGAAAAATTGAAAATCAAAAACTGGCCAGACATGAGTGCAATAATTATAAAGTTGCATCACAAACACATCAAGACAGTCTTCTGAATTTTCTGTTCTAGAATCTATGTTCAAGTATTTTTAGTTACATGTAGCTGAACATCAGAATAGATGATAATCCAACTCCTACAAACGCTGAAATTTCCTTTGATGTGATCAGTTAATAAGATTCATTTTTTTCACAGTAATTCTTTCCATTTCATTGAAACATTCTGAAATCAAAATTCTTTTTCTTTGTCATCAGGACAAAGTTGTAAAAATGAAAGATTTGACATGATACCCAGAGGAGTAGCATCAAAGCTTGATCTTTACACAGCGTTTCTGCATCCTGTTTCATGGAGTGCCAGGTAGCATGACCTCTGACGTCAGGTGACCTTTGAACTGGTAGTATGGTGACATCATGCTTTATATGTAGTTAGCTACCGTAATTGTATGGTAATATCATTGCTGTATATGTTCTACTTTGCTCCGGTGAACCTGTGTGAAGATTTCAAGGCGTTTCGTGCAGAAACCAATCTGGGGATTGGTTGTTTTGAAAATTTTTGAAAGCCTTGTTCATAAACAATTTGTAAAATAATTGTTCTACCATAGAAAATTATCAATCACAAATGGTGATTTCATAAAAAAAAACTATTTATGTTTCATTCGTGGAGATCATAGAAGTGTGATTACTTTGTATTTAGTTTGTTGCAGTACACATTTGGTAGAGTGAGATACATGTAGTAGCATTGAACAAGTTCTAGCACAGATGTGTCTGACTGTGCTTGAATTCTGTGGACACTTTTACCACAGAACCGTTATTATTCCTCAGTTTGTTTCTGCTTGAGTGCGTGATGAGTGATTATTTGCAGAATGAGTTTGTTGCAAATCAAAGAATAAAAAGCCAGCTCGTACCAAGCATTGAAAATAGCGGGACCATTTTAATCAGAGCTGAATGTCTGAAAATTCATTGGGGTAATTTTAATCTTTAAAAATAGGCTCAGAAGTTCTGGAAACTGTTTTTGATTCAAAAATTCAAAAGAAAGAAATATAATCATTATTTAGAAAGGAAGTCTTTTTTTTACTATCACAAAAAATCTGTCTTTACTCACCTCATAAAAGAAACTTATAAAATAAGCTTTCCTTTTGTTATCCTGTTTTTGGGTTATAGCCACATTCTCTTCCATTTTTGTAAAAATATTATTGGAAGTCTTCCCATCAGAAATTACAAAGAAAAGTAATACCGTAGAAACAAGACATACCCAGTGGACACATGGCTTAAACATCCAATTTTGGATCCAAACTGGCTATCCCCTTTTTGAAGAAGTGTGTTTATATCTTAACATAATGGACGTAATTAAATGTGTATATTGTGATGGAACATCAACATTCACAAATTCATTATCTGTGTATGCCAAACTGAAACCAATTCACTGATGTATAATACAGATGCCGTCTTTTAGGTTATAGTGGATGATTTTGGCCAGCAGTTTCTTTTGGATGGACAAAATTACATGTACATGTTGATTAACATATCAAATGGAAAGTAGTTCAGCCAGCCACAATGAAACTAGAAGTCTGCACCTAACCTAACTTCAGATGACATGTTAAAGGAGTTAACAATTCATAAGATGGAATGAGTTTACCGGTACATTATGGAAAGGCCATATTTTACCGAGCGATAATATTCAATCCATTTCACAATTTAAAGGGGCACTGCGTCCTGAAATCCCCGACAATTTCATGTTTTTGATTGTTTACTTACCCTATTTCAAACATCTGGTTGAAAGGAAACCAACCTAATGTCTTCTTCCATTCCCGAAAAAAACAAAAAAACCTGATTGTTTACATCGGACACGACGGAGTATGATACATGTTTCCTGTCGTTTTCATACAATTTACGATACACTACACAGCACCGTTCTCAAGCACAACGGTGACCAATCAACAAGGCACAAACTGTGATTTCTTACACGTCCGCAAAAGGCGAACCCTTACGGCTGGAATCACGACTAGCACGAACAGTCCGACTTTTTGGGGTCGCAATAGTGGACCCCAAAAGTCACTCTCGCACGAATACTACTAAAGCGCCCAGTTTTTAAAGGATACATGTAGTTGTGTGGATGTTTATATTCTATTTTTAAATGTTCTTTCCAATTAACATCATTTCGTTCAAAATGCATTTTGTGGCCCAATTGAGCGTATTCCAGGATGCAGTGTCCCTTTAAAGCCACTCAGTACTTGTTTATATAACTGACATAAAGATCCTTGTCATTAACAGTTAAAATTAACTTCTTTTTCAATAAAAAATTGGTTAGAAATGTATTTCTCTCTTCCAAACTTTTCCAAAATATATTTCTCTCTTCCGAAAAGTTTGAACCCAACTTTGTAGCTACTGGCCGGCTCTTGGGAACAATGTGCAATGCTCAACGCGCAACAGCATTCATTTGCAGTAAATTTTGCACCTTACTGCGCCATGGAACAAGGATGATCCTTACTGTTGAATAGTATTTCTCATTCACCATGGGCGAATGGGACTTTTTGAGCCCAGGTGTGAATGGGAACAATAATGAATGTCACGTGATGTGAGTTCCACCAATCAAATGACAAGGATCTGTATGTCAGTTATATTTTGCCAATGAATGCATGGTTATTTCAAAAGATAGGGGGCACATGTTATATTCTGAAATAAGGAGAAATATTTTTTCTCTCTAATATTTCGGTATTTGTATTATAATTTGAAATCTTTCTCATAAAATTTAAAGTACGTTTTTAACAATCGTAAAAAAAAAAACTAAAAAAGGGAATCGGGTATTTCATAGTCATAACATTTTGTAATTTATTGTTTTGGTATTCTGTAGGACTAACAGGTTAACTCACAATTTACCCACATTGGCTTCCATGTTCATGACTTCCCCGTTTCATATTTGAGATAGTATGATGTTAGGTGATACAAACAGTGATGAATAATATACCACAGTGCAGGTTGTTTTCTGTTCTCTAGAGCTGTAGTCATTTTGCTGCTTAGTTGAGACAGATTATCAGTCCAATGCAATTTGCTTCACATTGCATCTAATGGTTCTTTGTTGCTGATTGTCAGATTATTCTTGGCTTAACACAGAATAGCTCAGCAAAACTTTCTGTTTAACAGTTCAATAATGCTGGCTGTCTGCCATAAAATAACCTTTGCAGGAAAACCTCTCCATCCTTACGATTACACTCAAACTTCTAAGATGTCAACAAGAGCTCAGAGTAAACTCCTCTGAAATGACATTTTCCCACTCAGGAAAAATCACTTTGTCATGCTTTAAAGGAAGGCATTATTTGTTTTGCCAAGATACAGGTATGCCTCCTGTTGGTTACAGATTTTTGTTTGTTTATTTTTGCTTTTATTTTGCTGGTTTGCTGTTGATGATCAAGGTTTTTCTGTTCAAAGTTTCTCACAGTGAAGAGGTTTTGTGGGGCGTGATTTATGGAGTTTTAATTGGAGGAATGGTTGACAGATGTAGAGACACATATGTAGTTTGTTTTTGTCTCTTTCCAGATTTTCTTGGAGAATGTTTTTTTGTTGAAAGCAGACTTTTTTCCAGTTTGTTCCTTATTGTATACAATTTGGAAATTATTTGTTGATGTGCATAAATACTATCTTTGATTTGTGTTCATGCAAGAAGTTGTTCATAGACAATGCAAAGTTTATTATCGGTTGTTGTAAACAATGAGTGTGGTTGGTGAGGTATGTGTTTTGTTTGATTAGAAAGTGATTTGTACTTGCGAAGAACAATGTAGAGTTACATTCTGTACATAGACTTACTTGTAGAACAAGCCACTTTGTGTATCTACATTCTCTATGAATTTGGTTACCAGTGAACAGAGCTAAAGAGTGGGATACCAGCCAAACTGTGATTTTACATGTGATATAGGTCCTTGGCAGATTTACTTTACATACATGTATAGATTTTCATAGCAAATTTGGTATGTTGGGTAGTTTCTTGATATAAGTTCTGTAGGAACTTCTCTTCAGAAAATGCCTTAAGTTTTTTTCTTTTCCTTAACCAGTTCGAGCCGGATTTATTTTGACAGTGATCTGACCAAGGCGCGGTATTATTTTAACGAACTTCAATGCCAGACGGGCCCAGGCCATGATCTGCGGGTAGCACACCCTGATTTTTCCGGCCGATGTGAATTTCTGAAAACATTTGCGTGTATATACGTCCTCAAGCGCGAACTGGTTAAAAGTCTGTGAAACAAAAGTTTGATTGAAGGGTGTAAGATGTGAATTACTCCCTGGTTCTTTGCATAGAATGCTCAAGATTTGTTGAGTTGAGTTGGATTTGACAAAGCAATGCATTATCTAGTTATTAACTGAGTAAGGATTAGGACCAAAGCTCTTACAATGAACCTTGTATTTGTTTAAGAGACCTTTCATTTAACACAAAGTGGACTGAAACGTTTTACGCGACAATAGAGTTAATTTTCCAAGATCCTGATAACGAAATCAACTTGGAATTTATATGAAAGGTGTGCATTTAAAAAAATGGATGCACTAAAGTGAAAATCCTCAGTTTCATCACCTAAAAAGAAGGGTTTTTAAATATCGAAAGAAAACATGTGTAACATTGTTGGTGACTTTATTTTTTATGCAGTGTTTGGTGACTATAACAGAAGGATTTAGCTTGTTGAGCAAATGAATCACATCTTTATCAATAGCTTGGTAAAAACAGTTGCTTTTAATTGCTTTAATTTGTTTTGAGGATTGTAAAAGGCGAAAACAAACATTGTAATTGAAAGTTAACACTTTTTAATTGGGTTGCTTATTGTTACGTAATTCCTTGCTGTTTTTCTTTTTGTAAGTTTATAATACAGTTCAAGCGTTAATATCTATATCATGGAGAGACAGTTTGCATTAAAAAGTTACTGAATGTTAACAGAAATATTTGTGGTTAGTCTCAGTTTGTGTGAGATTTCCTTATTTTTTACTTATTTCATTGCCAAAGCAATGTAGTTCATTAGCTCACAGTTCATTGTTTTCTTTGCCATTTAATCAACCAACATATTACAAAATATAATTCAGAAAGAATTGTTTTGGCTTTTAGAAATAAAGAAGTTAAAAACAAATGATTTGGACAATAGAGGGTTTTCAAAGCTGTTTTCCCACAGTAAACGTACAGGTATATGCGAGATTTGACCTCAGTGAGGTCACGTTAAGTTGTGCCTCTGCAAGACTGATGAAGTCATACGCATATTTGCCTATTTGAAGCAATTTAATTTTTTTTGCCCAAATTGACCCTAAAAACCACAAGGGGTTAACCTTACTTTTTTTTTTTAATGAATATGGCCCCCCCCCCAACAAATTGCTTTTCTGTCAAATATCTCTTTTCTGTCAAATACCACTGGGGGCGACCATTATTGTCGCCCCTAGCGGTAAAACGCTTGTACCGCTGGGGGCGCCCTTTGTCGCCTCTAGCGGTATATATTAACGCGCGTACGGCTGGGGGCGACCGTTATTGTCGCCCCAAGCGGTATACCGCTGGGGGCGACCATTATTGTTGCCCCTAGCAGTATATATTAACGCTTGTACCGCTGGGGGCGAGCATAGCGCTTGTACCGCTGGTGGCGCCCTTTGTCGCCTCTAGCGGTATATATATTAACGCTCGTACCGCTGTGGGCGACCGTTGTTGTCGCCCCTAGCGGTATATATTAACGCGCGTACCGCTGGGGGCGACCATTATTGTCGCCCCTAGCGGTATAACATTTGTACCGCTGGGGGCGCCCTTTGTCGCCTCTAGCGGTATATATTAACGCGCGTACCGCTGGGGGCGACCATTATTGTCGCCCCTAGTGGTATATATTAACGTTCCTATCGCTGAAGGCGCTATTATTGTCGCCCCTAGCGGTATAACGCTTGTACCGCTGGAGGCGACTTACCGCTAGAGGCGACGTCGCCCCTAGCGGTACACGGTACCGCTAGAGGCGACGTACCACTAGAGGCGACGTCGCCCCTAGCGGTACACGGTACCGCTAGAGGCGACGTACCGCTATGGGCGACGTCGCCCATAGCGGTACGTCGCCCCTAGCGGTACCGTGTACCGCTAGGGGCGACGTCGCCCCTAGCGGTACACGGTACAGTTAGAGGCGACGTACCACTAGAGGCGACGTCGCCCCTAGCTGTATACGGTACCGCTAGGGGCGACGTACCGCTATCGGCGACGTCGCCCATAGCGGTACGTCGCCCCTAGCGGTACCGTATACCGCTAGGGGCGACGTCGCCTCTAGCGGTACGTCGCCCCTAGCGGTACCGTGTACAGATAGGGGCGACGTCGCCTCTAGCGGTAAGTCGCCTCCAGCGGTACAAGCGTTATACCGCTAGGGGCGACAATAATAATGCCTTCAGCGATAGGAACGTTAATATATACCACTAGGGGCGACAATAATGGTCGCCCCCAGCGGTACGCGCGTTAATATATACCGCTAGGGGCGACAACAACGGTCGCCCACAGCGGTACGAGCGTTAATATATATACCGCTAGAGGCGACAAAGGGCGCCACCAGCGGTACAAGCGTTATGGTCGCCCCCAGCGGTACAAGCGTTAATATATACCGCTAGGGGCAACAATAATGGTCGCCCCCAGCGGTATACCGCTTGGGGCGACAATAACGGTCGCCCCCAGCCGTACGCGCGTTAATATATACCGCTAGAGGCGACAAAGGGCG